AATATCAATATATATACAAATTAATTAAATTAAATAGAGATACCCTGATTTTACTAATATTTTTAAACATAATTTATTGTTTTAGATATCTGCTTAATTTCTGTTGGAATCAAAGTTTTACACTAGGTTGAAAAATATTTCTTAACCATTTAGAATTATATAGTTCTTAAACTTAATATTTCTTAGAGAACTTTAGCCTAAATGTAGGTGTTTATATGAATGAACCTCAAGAAAATATTTTCTAAATGAATTAAATATGTATAAGCATTGCCTCCTACAACTTGCAAACTAATGGCAATATGTTAAAAGATTGACATTGGCAAAAGATGTATAACCAATTTTTCATAATGTGTTTCGCAAGGAGTTAACTGAAAATTAGATTAATAGGATTTCTGTGAATTGATAATGACACCTAAAATGAGATTTTTACTATAATTTATCTCAAACTGCTAGATTTCAGAATGAAATATTTTATTCCACAGGAAAATAACGTTTGTTGGTATATGTAGATTTCATAGTTACCACAGCAATTTAGAGTAAAAAAAAAAAAAAAAAGCTGTTTTCCTTTAAGTATGTAAAACCCGGGTTTTGTATATTTATATAATATATACCCATAAATAAATAATTGTATACTTTACACACACATACATGCACACACACACACAAGTATACATATAGTTACATTATTGTTTGGGATTGCAGTGGAATATGTAAAAACAAGTCCATGAGAGCTAGAGTAACATATTCCAGAACTAGGATCCCAATTGTTCTTTAGATTTTTATTAAAAATATAGCTAACATACAGTATTATATTAGTTTCAGGTACACATTATAGTTATTCAACATTTATATACCTAAAGAAGTGATCACCATAAGTCCAGGAACCATCTGCCATTGTACCACATTATCACAATATTACTGACTATTGACTATACTCCCCATGCTATACATTACATCCCCATGACTTGTTTGTTTTATACCTGGAAATTTGGACCTCTTTTGGACCTCTTATCCCCCTTTACCACCACCNAACCTAGAAAAGCGCTAGGCATGCCTAAATATTTATACGTAATTAAGTTGTCTGATTTAGGGCTATCTCATCTTTACCAGTATAGGGTGTTGCAAGGTATGCCTCTATTCAGAAAGGTCAGTCTTATTTATTCTGGGTTATTTTGTAACAAATAAAAGACTTCGGTTCTACTTATATAACTGTCTTAACAAATGACTAATCCATTTTACCTGTGCTTTAAAAATGTGATCAGTAATTGTAATTTATTTTTTTAAGGCCCTCCTGGACCCCCAGGTGAAAAAGGAGACAGAGGTCTCACTGGAGAAGGTGGTCCACGAGGCATTCCAGGTCCAATAGGTATGGTAATAGAAAGTACTTAATAATATACTACATGGCTAGGTCATATACATCCAGGTATGTATGCAGGGGGAAAGATCTATTTGATTTGTTCCGTGTGTGTGTGTGTGTGTGTGTGTGTGTGTGTGTGTTTAGGGAGATGTTACCTGTTCCAGCAGCCTAAGCACTATAATGTACTGAATGATAAGCGCTGACTCTGGATTTCTGAAGAAAGTTACATGCTTTATCCAGAGCTACCACATGGGGTTGTTCCTAAATCTGGGGAAAGCCATGTATATGTAAAGCTGCAAACATTATAAGGCAGACCTAGCTTTAGGTCATATATGAAGAAGAATATTAAAATCATGTTCATGCTGAATATATTTGCAAGTTATCTGGTTTTTAAGATACAAAAATAATACTTTAATATGAGTCAAAGCAAATTGGGTTAGATTCCTTATATTGTCTGTAACTGGAATATGTCTACATAAACCGATGAAATCTGAAGGTGAATATTGACTAGAATGCAGTTAACTTTTACCTTTGCTGTCAACTATTCTCTGTATTTTACTTAGAGCAAAATTGTTTCAAATTACTTTCCTCTGTGTTATAATCTTGAAAGCAATATTTTGAAAGAAGATAATAGAAAACAGAAAAGGAGAAAGAGCATGAACTTTCTTTGCTCTCTAGAAAATAAAGAAGTCAATAACAATCACATGATTGTCATGTTATTCTTGTCTAGACATCAAATACCCCACCTGCTTTTTGAAAATGGGGAGTATATTGCATGGTCTAATTATAATAAAAATGCTTTGGGCTGACAAAAAAAATGTCTAAA